GACGACATCGCGGTATCGAATCAATCCGCTATAAAGAGTCCTCGGCTCTATCGCATCTGGGCTGGAGCTGCCGTATGGCAACCATTGCACCTGTTCACAATTGCATAAGAGTATTTATAAAAATAATTATATTATTTTAAATAACGGGTAACTAAATTTAAATAAAATAACTTCACGTACATCGGAGGCAGTGAGTCTGTCGAGGCGCCGACGGATGGATGTGAGTCGATCGTCTGACCGTGGCGCATTCCCTATGCTCCACGAGCGTGATCGTGCGAGACAGTCAGGACCGATGGGTAGACGCCCCCGGGGTCGGAAATCGGAGAAATACTCATATATCCAAGACTGCAGAAGAGTCAAGCAGCCCGACATCTGGGCAGAGTCCCCTCGGCTGGCAATACTTAGCTGTCTGTACATGTATGCCAGCGTAGCCGATCCCCATGAGTAACCCCCAATCAATCCAAGCCGTCGAGCACCTCGACGAGGAGCTTGGGGGTCACTCTACTACCACTCTTGTCGACGAACAATGTGGTAGCCAGCATCACCCACAGCCAGGCACCCGCCTCATCCCTAGCCGGCCGGCCTTTCCCCCTGAATGCCCCCGAAATGACGGCTTCGGACACCGAACCACGCTGCCAGAACGAACTCATGAGTTCGCCCTTGGTGACCGAAAGTATTGACATGCAGAGCCTATGGCAGGCGTCCAAATCCGGGTCCTCAGCGACCACGACTCCCTCCACTGGAACGCCCAAAATGGCCCGGACGTCGTGCAGCATGATGCTCATTTCACCAAAAGGCAGGTGAAACGAGTTAGTATCCGGCTGCCATCGCTCCACAAAAGCAGAAAGGAGTTGGGTGTCCAAGTGGGTGTGCATGGAGTTGACCAAATGTGACAGCCCGGTCTGGTCGAGAAGAGCTGTCGCATCGGAAGACATCTCTTCACGCCAAGCCTTCAGATTCTCGATCGCTCTCAGTCTGTTGTGGCATTTCAGCGGCCCCCTCAAATTCCCACTCCCCATGCGGGAGGCGACATGCCCTAGAAAGCTAGGGATGACACTCCCATCAATGGGCCCACCGGGCACTGGGCCTTTAACGATCCAGGGTGCACCATCATCGGTCCTAGCTTGTTTGGTAGTACCTGCATTAAAATACAACATATCTGTATATATTGACTTGCTGGCAGATGCATTAAATAAAATATATTTAATAAAACATATTTCATAAGTTTCCCTTTTTTTTTTCAATTACTGTTACGTTCTACATTAATAAAATATAATGAAACTAATTTATTATGTAACATTACTACTAATTGATTATAACAATAATAAAAATAATTATAATAATTTTCAAATTAATTAATTGTATGGTTCATTTAAATTACAAAATAATAGTACCGATAATTTGTTATGATTAAGTGAAAATAATTTATGTTAAACAACAATAAATACGTAAATTATTTACCTGATGAGGATGCAGATGGGCCAAAACGCCCCCCAGCCTGTCGTTGAGGAGCAGCCTGTGTAGGACGAACAGCCTGTACCGGACGAACATGCGGTAGAACCGGCTGTACCGGACGAACAGGCTGTACAGGAGGACGAGGGTGGTTAGGACCCGTAGGCTGTGCGTGGTCCTGATCATCTGAAGAGTCGTCCGAGTCATAGTCCTCTGGACCCGGCTCCCTCTCGCCGTACGACTCATCATCAGCATACCCCTACTGACCATAAGGTAATGGTACGCGTGCGCGGGGGGGTATCGACTTCCCTGCGTAGCGGGAAAAAGCACCTCTCGGCTGATCGTACGGCCCTGGTGCCGGGGGCATCGAACTGCCCGCCTGGCCAGGATAATAAAATTCATGTTCGCCATACGGGAGGACTCCGTGGGGTCGCGAACTATCTGGCTGGCCCTCAAAATGATATCCCTGCGGACCAGTTGGCACTGGTGCGGGGGGGCGGTAACTCTGGCTAGCCTGACGAAGCTGTAACCTCCGAGCCTCATCGATCAACGCCTGCCTTTCCATGTCCCTCTCCCGACGAACGGACGCATTGACACCCCGAGTTCTAGTGTGTCGGGTGCCAGAACCATCATAATAGTCATCGTACGCCTCGTCGTCGTCCCTGGCATTAGATTGTCCAGGTCTGCCAACACCCTGAATCAGAAATATAATTATT